GCGCTTCAAAGTGAATATGCAACTCATAAAGTGTTTTGAGCAGTTTGGTTCACAATTAACAATTTCCAGGTGCTCTGAGTTTGAATTGCTTATTAAGCGCACATTTGAGACATTTTTGTGGACAGAAAGTTACAGCATTTCAGCAGCTTTACAATGAGAAATGTATTAAAACTGTTCTTATTAGCTAGGCAGAAGATTTCTTCAGTTTTCTGCCTAAAAGCTGTCTGGTTTATTGTTGACTAAATGGAAGTGTGGAGCATCCTACAGGAAGTCTTTCTCACTGCAGTGGTTTCACCCATGGAGAAGTGAGGGAAAAGGTGGATAATGAACAATTTTCCCAGGAAGACAGAACACAAGAGACATGGAGTGGCATATTTATCAGATCTGAGCCAGCTGATAAGGCATCTTAGTTGTCTCTATGGGTTGCCAGATACTATCATACCCTTAGTCTTACTTAACTCTCTTCAATGGACGAGTTTATAAACAAGAATTGTCTTTGCCAGCATGTCTTTATCCATCTCAATGTAATCTCTGCGCCATGACTAAAAACAACAGTGGTAACTGTCTAGGATCGCTAGCTGGTACAGATGCATATCTGTTTGTCATCAACCTTCCGGCTTTCCTTCCACACAGGAGTCATTCTCTCACACACACACACACACACACACACACATACACATACACATTCAGTAACCAGCTATAGCATATTTATGTTTAGCTATATTAAAATTTTTGATTGTTTCATTTTGTGAAAAAAAAACTTTTCTAAATGAAAGGTTGTTTTATACCTACTTTTGGCTAATAAATTGTTTACATATGGTCATTCATTAGTGGCATTAATGTGTTCAAATACATAGTGTCTTCATTGTGAAAATTGTAGATATGGCAGGTTGAACTCTTAAACCCTTTATTCAGCCACTAAGGTTGGGTCCACAAAACTTCCATATATTTGTACACTACTGTTCAAGATGTGTGTGTGTGTGTGTGTGTGTGTGTGTGTTAAAAGAAATTAATTATTTTATTCAGCAAGGATGCTTTAAATTGATCTAAAGTAATAGTAAAGACATTTACAATGCATTGTTATAAAATATATCTTTTTATAATTGTTTTCTTCTATTTATCGAAAAATCCTGAAAAAATTGCTCCATGGTTTTCAACATTGATATTAAGAAAAATATGTTTCTTGAGAAGCAAATAAGCATATTAGAATGATTTCTGAAGGATCATGTGACACTGAAGACTGGAGTAATGGCTGCTGAAAATTTAGATATGCCATCACAGAAATAAAATATATACAATTATTTATTTAATATATTAGTTATTATAAAATTGTAGTAATATTTCACTATTAATTCATTGTGGCCAGAGTTTGAAATATAAAATCAAATCTCAGTCATTCAATTCATTTCAGCTGTTGGTATGTGTCATTTGCATAAAATCCCACTATATTCATGACAAAAGTAATATATTCCCCAATTTGTCATGAAAATAATGCCATTGTGCAAACAAAATTTTATTTAATCTTGAAAAGTAGAATTTCAGATATTTTCTTTTAAGATATTTTTGGGTTCAATACACTTTTAATCAACATTATGCATGGCATAATAATGTTTATGTTATGTTAATAAGGTAAATATTGATCACATGCAAAATCATGACATTCTTAAGATTGTGAGTTTCACCCATGGAAAATTATGCTAAAGGTGCCACGTCCATTCAAACAGAGGGGCACGTGTCCTTTGAGATTTTAGAGCCAACTTTCAAAAAAACAAACAAACAAAAAATCTTTCTTTGAAAATTAATTCTGCATGACTGTGGTTTTTCATTATAGTGCTATAATCATAAATCTAAATTTGGTGGCTCCAGTTGATTTACACCCAAATGAAAAGGCATTGTGCTCTTTTTAAAAATAGTTTTTATCCTCCTTTTGACATATCTTGTCTTGCCCAGGACACAAACGTGGCTTTCACTTGTGGCCTCTCAAAGGTGCATGACGCCCCTGCTCTTCACCACTATCAGGCAAATGGGCTCCCTGGCTCCAGACCATGTTGCTGATGCTTTTTCAATAGTTTTATGTTATTTTGGAGCTCAAGTCTGATTATGACAGATTCATCAGTGAAGTGCTGTATTTCAACAACTCTCATTCTTCTGAAGGTGTGAAAAGGACCACTGACTACTGACATCCCACGAAGAACTATATATAAAAAAATCAGTTTATTCTGACTGCACAGATATATAGGCTCTCCATATTTGGCTACATCCCTCAGGGAATAAAGTATTTTCTTGCCTGTCTTTGGCATTGGCTGGGGTTTGTTTTGGGCTTGAAATGTTATATTTCAAAATGGTTTGGGGTATTTTTAGAGTATATAATTTGTGTAGAATGTGCCCATGGGTAAGTGGTGAACACACTGATGGGTCGAACGGTCTGCCAGCTGTTTCATGTCTGCTCTTTTCTAACCAACAGCAAATTTGAGCTCTTCAAGATAGTGGTTTCTAATCTAACTTACCTTAAGTGATACTTAACATTGTACATAATGAAAACCCACTTCCTGTTTCTCAATTTTTTTCAATTTCTGCTTTGAATAAGGTACTTAGATAAAGAGAAAAGGAAGTTTGTATTATTCTCTTCCTGAGGCACATAGTGTGCCTAAATACATTCAGCCAAAACTCAGTATTTGAATATACTGTTCTTCACTGAGCAAGTTCAAGAACTGCCTTACAGCTTTTTGCAAGGGTGTTTACCTATTCTGGACTTTCTCTACTTTGTGTAGTAGTTCGTTCTCTCTCCCGTTAAATGTGCTTTTGTTTTTGCTCAGCTGGCATCAATCAACTCTTGTACTCGCACTCACAAAAGCTCCTTCACTGAAGGTCTATTTATATTGGCTGTTGAGACCTTTTTATCAATACACACTGATCTTTAATAGCAGATGTCTCTCTCAGACACTGTTTCAGTGTGTTTTTTGTGCTCTGTGCCTTGTGGTTTCAGGCGAAATATGATTGACTGTACAGGTGTGGTGTGCTCTCAGAGAGCATAACTTTATCAGGCCTGTATGATGGGCTTTTTTTAATGTTTTTTTGCTAACTTTTTTGCTGTCGTTTATATTGTGGAGCACTGTTTCTTGTGATTTTCTTCCCCCTTTTGCTTTGTTCTGTTTATCTTTGCTCATTTCTCTCTTTCAACAGCCTCACATATCCCACTTTTCATTGAACTGTATTAGAAAAGATAGAAAGAAAGGCAAACCAGCATTAAAGGCAGAGTAAGTGATTTTTCAAAAACACTTTAGAAAACTGATTCGGGCCGAATTGCAAAACAAACTTGTAGCCAATCAGCAATAAGGGGCGTGTCTACTCGTGATGTGGAGGAGAGCGCGTTCAGTGCATGGAACGGACATTAGCCGAGCCGAGAGACAGAAAGATAAAGATGGCGGATAAATATCGGATCAGCTTTCCAGCGCTGGAGAGAACTCAAGGAGCGGAGGCCTGCGATCGGACGCCGAGGTTGCTTTGTTTCTTCTCAATAGGTGAGTAACACCATGTCTACAACAGCTAAAGTCTGCCTACACTGGACGCGATCAAACGACCGTTGAAAACCATTTGAAATTTGTGTCAGCACGTCATAAATAGAACCTGGCAGCAGTTTTCTGTCGGGGATTTGTTGCGCCGCGCCGCTCACATCCGTAGACACGGTGTAACATTGGTTTTGCTTTGTTTCACAGAACTAATCGTTGCCTGGGTTGCGTACGTATATGTGGGGCGGAGCTATCAAAATAGGGGCAAGACCCTTTTGGGGTAGGGGCGTGTTTGTTTTGGTGATTTCAAATATCAATATTGGCTACCAGAAATCACTTACTCTGCCTTTAAGCGAAACACTAATGGTTAACTCTACCCCCAACCAAGACTTGCTTAATGTTTCAATTTGCTCATGACAAGAGACATCTTAGGGTGAATTTTACAGACTATATCCAGGACATATTTAACTCCACAATCTAAAGAATTGTTTTGTTTTGTTTTTTGCATTAAGACAGTAAAGTCTTTGCATTATGACATAATTTTTACGATGATTGCACATTCTCATTCTCGTGACTTCTAAATAGTGCTAAATACTGCTACAATAATGTTAATCTAATGAGAATTACCTCTGAGAATAAAGGCAATTTCAAAGAAACTCTTGCAAACTCTTTTTTTATTAAAGATAAGAGATGGAGCATAATGCATACTCTAATTGTCATCAAAATAATACTGCAATGCATCTTAAAAGCCCTAAAAATGAGCTTAATTTTCTTTTTGCTAAATATAATTTTTGTTTATTTTATATATTTATGTTAAAGGGTTAGTTCACCCAAAAATGAAAATTAGCTTGTGTTTTACTCACCCCAGAGGCATCCTAGGTGTATATGACTTTCTTCTTTCAGACGAATCCAGTCGGAGTTATATAAAAAATTGTCTTTAATCTTTCAAGCTGTTTAATGCCAGTCAGCGGGTGTTGCATTGCTTCAGTCCAAAAGAAGTGAAATAAAAAGCGCCCATCCATAAAAAAAAGTGTCTCACACGGCTCCGGGGGGTGAACAAAGGCCT